AAAAAAAAAAAAAAAAAAAAAAAAAAGGTGGGGGTGGGGCGAGGGAGTAATTGTGAGCACGCTTACTGGCTTCAGGCAAGTTAACAATAGAAAGCAGTTTAAAATAAAAAAGAGAAAGTTAACTAGTTGATGGGAAAACGTAGTGAAGGAGACAGGAAAGGATGAAATTACAACAGCTTAGGTGGAGGTACCAGTCCTATTTAAAAAAAAAAAAAAAATTAATGACTACCAAAGGCCTACCATACATAATCGAAACACCTTTACCTGACATTTAAATTTTTAAAATAATTTATCTCCAAGGTAGTTTTCCATTCCTCTACATTCCTTCACTTTACCTCTATATTTTTTTAAGCTAGTCCTACTTAAAGTGCTACTCTCCTCTCACTCCCACTTCCACCCATAAGTCTTTTTGATCTCCTCATAAAAAGTGCTTTCTCATTATTCAACTCTCTACATCTCATTAATGTCTTAATAGGCTACCTCTTTTCGAGGTCTATCTCTTTTTCGCTGTGAGGATCTATTTTACCTACTTTTGTACTTCCCAGTATGCCTTAAATATTGACTTGTATGACCTATACCAGTCTGAATTCACATTAGACTGGTCTGAAATTCTGCCCCACTCGAGCCAAATGAAGCTTCTTTGCGATGATCAGATAGAGCCAGAATTGGACCGGCCTCGTAGATCTCAGCTAATAGTACTGAACTTGCACAGTCAGGCAGCAAGGGCGAAAACTGTACTTAGGCTCAAGAAGACGCCAGGCACTCTAATGGAATCGCATGCCTTCAACGTTTTTCCCAAACTGCCCTCCCTCCCGGTCTCCGCACTTTAAGTAATAAGACCACCGAAAGAAAACAGGACTCCCTGAGTAACTCGCGTCAAAAGCGACTGGGTAAGTGTCAGGTAGTGAAAAAGAATCAGCCACTTGGAGGTGAACGCTGGGCGCAGGAGGAGAGGGAAGAACCTCGACTCTCTAAGTTCCCCAGTTCCGCTCCCCCGCCCCACGCTAACGTCACGCCACGTCGACGGCGCGACGCACTGCTCGGCCCCGCCCCACCCTGGCCCACAGCCCGCCAGGCCCTGCAGGGAATTCGGTGCCTCCAGGCCGTTCTCACACGCACTGGTGGAAGGAGAGGCCACGCTCCCGGCTCAGCACGGTGTCCCGGGTGCTGCAGCCCACTGCAGAGCAACTTCGGGTCATCTTCTTGTTACGTGGGGCTCCACCTTCAGGGTTCCCGCGACAGCATGAATTGCGATAAACTTAGCTCCGCCCGTTGACTCGGAGTCTTCGACCTTTATTTGTGGGGAAAGGCGGGCTTTCGAGACCCGGGACTCCCACCCTTCCTCTGGATAGGCGCAGCTCTTGGCGCCGTGGCCAATCACAGGCCACATCGTGTTGCAGCAGCCAATCGGAAAGGCTGGGGCATCAGACGCTCACGTGACCGCTCCTCCCGGTCAGTTGGAGGGTGGGTAATGGTTTTTGCTGTAACTCATTTTCCTCCTCCTTTCACGCGCTCCTCCTCAATCCGGCTCCATCGAGCTTCTTGTGAGGCTGAACCTGAAAATGCAAAGCAGAGAGGCAGGACCAAAATTGAGGAGCATGCGGGGCATGCCAGTGGGTCTCCGGGTGCGATCGGTGAAACTCACTGGAGGGCATCGGGAGGAAGGGATATGAGGGAGTGGGATACCCGTGGTGCCGTAGAAATGCTGAAGACAAAGTCGAGCCGAGAATAAGTGATTTACTGGGAAGCGTGTCATTGCCTTGCTTTTTATTTTGTAGTTTTCTGATGCGGAGATAACGTAGGAGCTCTTGGCTGTAGGCATGTGATTCCAGAGGAGCGTGAGAGTCTGAAATGAAGATACGTCGACTTTTAAATCAACAAACACCTTCTGAAGGACACTTTGCTACAATGAGGGAATTAAGGAAGTAAAGGTAAGGTCCTTGGGAACCCTTGGGAAATATTATGGTCTAGTGGGGACTCAGCAATAAATAGTAAAAGGAGGGGCAGTGAAGTGGTTTTCGTTTGGAATGGGGTATCATGGATAGCTTTAAGGAGTGAGATCTAACAGCAGTGTCTTAGTTAAGCTCTTTATGTTTATGGTATGAGATTTCAGTTTTCATAGAAGATAGAAAATGGGCCATACGGCATATTTTGTCTTTTGGGAGGAGAGCCTTAGCATATTAAGTGGCTTTTTTCTCCTGGATGACGTTGGAGGCCTCTAATGAAAAAAACCGAGAAGTGTTTGTAACTTTTTTATTTCTCTCTGTAGCTCACAAAAATGATTCCAGATTTCCAGGCTTGTTCTAACAAAATTACTTCATTTTTCCCTTTTTGTTTCCTTTGTCCGAATTTCGGCCAGAAAGATTCATACCAAGGTATTAGTTATTCATACCTATTTTCCATTACGATATGCTTATACCTTATCTGATTGAAATTAACAGAGCTTTTGTTTATGTTTTCTTAAACGTCACATGGCCTAAGAATAATTCATGAACTTTGGAAAAATTGGTCCCTAGGAGATGTGCAGGGCAAATGCTCACTTGGCTCTAAGACATGCAGAGGGTTGGGAACTGGATTGAAAATACTGTCAGTTGATTGGACTATTCAGAGCCTTTTCTAGTACTCAACCTATTAAGACCTGAGAGATGCTAAATAGAAGTAGCATTATCGTTGTCAATTATCTTTAAGGAAGAAACTGGTTGACTCATATTTTTGTAACAGTTCTATTTAGATATAATTCTTGCACCAGACAACTAACAGATGTAAAGTGTACAATTCATTGGTTTTTAGTATACGTACAGAGTTGTGCAGCCATCACCACAGTCAGTTTTTTTTTCCCCCTTTTTGTCTTTTTTCGTGACTGGCAACAGATCGCAACCCTCAGTGTCGCGCCCAGACCGTTCGGGACCGGCAACGGGATTGCAACCCTCGGTGTTGCTCCCTCACCTCGCTCAGCCAGTGAG